TTCTTGCATTTATTTATTCTCAGATGATGTTCCTAATAAGGATTCCTTTTACATAAACAACATTAATTCAAATATAACTGCAAACTCACCAAATAGTCTGCTAAGTACTATATAAAAAACAATATAGAAGTAGTAATTGGCTGTAGCAGCCACGGTAAATAAAGATTTCAAAAGTGAGATTCAAAGATTTCAGTGCTGATACTTCTAGTGTTAGTTACAGGATTTCTATTCCACTGAAATAAGTGAGAATTGAACAGTTCAATTCAATGGGAATTGAATTCAGTTAAACAACTGAACTTATTACTAAACAGTCAGCATGTGCTGACATTGATAGTCTATTTTAATGTTTATCCATTATATGAATAAGCATTTGGCCAGATTATCACARTTCTTAATCAACAACTTCACTGTCAGCCTTCAGAAACTGTGGTAATTATTACAGGAACCAATGTGAATGGGAAAATATAAGAATATCATTACTGAACATTTTGTTTGCCTGTTCTTTACTTTCCTTATGATTTTGTGTGCATTATGATGTTAGGTTGGTCTGATTGGAGGCTTTTGGGTACTTCTAGAGAAAGTACTTTATAAGTGCTAGGGCAAATTTTTTCATGTAGGTATCTGTGTCCTAGCAACAATGCTGAGAGGAACAAGACATTTAAGACAGATCGCTGAACAAGTGATRGCAAATTTCAGGTGTCATATTATCACCTTGTGTTAATTTGGAGCAGGAATCATGTTTTTTCTTTTGTACGGCGTCTGGTACATGACAAGGGCTTCCCATTTAGTAATAAAAATAATCAACAATTACAATATTTAAAAAAATTTAATAATCTGTTCACAGCAGCAAAGCCAGGCTAAAGCTAAGGCTGACAGCATGACTTCTCTTCCCCTATGCACACTCTATATCTTCACATAACCATACACAATTTTCTGAATAATAAAGTTTCCTAACATCTATACTTCTGATGCCTAAAGCTCTTAAAGGTGCATGAAACAAAACTGTTCATACTCTCCATTCCCTGTACGGCTCCTTAGAATTCTGCAGATGCTATAAAAGGCATTAAGACATAAAATACAGGCTAATGACAATACAGCATTTCACATATAATTTTCCACATATAAAAGTTATATAAATTTCCAGCTAGAATATTCCAGTGCATGAATACTTTTTTGCAACTTACAAATATTTACAGTGGTTGCTTCAAAATCTGACCCTTTGTATGACTACAGAAATTGCAAGAAGTAAACTTTCCCTTGTGCATTTGCAGGAAGCTGTCTGCATCTTAAGCCAAATTTAAAACATACTTCAAAAGCAATTGTCACATAGAATATACTGTTTATGAAACATGGTTACATCTCAGCCATATGAGTTAAAGTGCCATATATTTTTCTGTAAGGATATATCGATCCAAGAAAAAAAAATTGTTATTTTTGTGCTTTTAGATCATCTGATATTCCATACATAGCTGAAGTCTGACATTAACATAAAACTTGAAAATGAGTGTGTCTTACAGACTTGCTTACACAAACTTACAAACAAGTTATCCTACCATGTGTTTTGGGCTTATTCTAAACAATGCTTTACTTATAACTTCTAGATTCCTCCTTGTAACTTCAGAGATTCCCCTATACAGAAATCAGGCAGACAGAAGTCTGCAGATGCTTTAAAATTGCCCATAATCTACAAAGTTTAGGATTTTTTTTCTTAATTTCCTTAGTTGATATCAAGCTAGTGCTATAAGCTATTGTCAGCATGAGTGTGGGTCTTAAGTTTCCTAAAAGTAAAGAATCATGTAGATATCAAAATAGTTAGAAGACTGTTTAAGATTTAGCTGTGTGCACCCACAGCTTTCATGTTGACTGTATTTACAAAATTAGCTCCTTCAGGGGGAATCATGCTGATGATAGCAGAGAAATGCCTCAATTAAGGATTATAAAGAAGTTCATTAGAGGAACAAACTATATTTGACARATGTCTCCCGTCTTTTTAAATGTTTCCTTTGCTCTTCTTTGGAAAGATTCCTCATAGATCGAGCATGTCATGGGAAATACCAAAGGGAAACTTCAGATGTATTCTTCCCCGTTTCACACATGCTTTAAGGTCCTACTACATCTAGTGGGTTTATGCTCCTTGATTTTCAGGCCATTTTAAAATTATTACTGGTCAATCTCCAACTACTGAAACAAACATATATATGTATATATATATGCACATATCTATTTTTTTTTTGGCAGAGGATTACTATTGATCCATTGTGATGTTTCGTGTTGGCCACTTGCTGATCCTTTCTGGGGAACAAACCAATATTATGACTAGTATGAAGCTTTACTTTATTGATTAACTATTGCTGTTTTAAATTCAAAGATTTTGTAATTGTTTTATCAATTAAACAATTTTTCATTATTTAAAAGCTGACTTTGGTATGTATTTTTTCACTGTGCCATAGCATGTGCTCTAATGCTGTGAATTACCACCCAGCGTATAGCTGCTTCTGGTGGTGTGTAGCCCTCACTCTGTAAATAATTAAAAATATGTACTCGTTACCTCTCATTACATATAGTTCACATAGAGAATTTCTCAGCAGGCTGAGTTAGCTGAAGTTAGCTGAGTATTCAGGTTATAGAAGGGTGAATCTTTGCATGCATCGAAGCAGTAGGATTACAAACTTTTGCAGCAGCAGATATGAGGAAAGTAAGACTCACCTCCCTTTCTTATTCCTTTAACATTAATAATGGGGTTGCTCAAAGCAAATCTTTACTTAGGCAGAATCTAAGCGTCCACCTCTTTTCCCACCAAACCTTAACAAGGATGGCATGGAACTGCTGGACCACCCTTGGCCTCTTGTACACAAACTCCTGGCAAACAAGGTGCACTTCACAGCTGAGAGGGAGGACAGAAAGCAAAGCCAAGCAAAGCCAAGAAAAAAAGACATCGAGAACAAAAGACAGAAAAGCAATGAAGAGAATAAATAGGCAGAAATTTGGGGAGAGCCATGTGTTTGTTCCCTTGAAGGAAGGATGGTATGAGATGAGAAAGAATCAATAATATTAAAAAGCAAAGAAGTAAACAAAAAACCACACCACAACAAATGTAAGTAGGAACAGTTTGTTCCCAGCAAATGCAACTAGGACTATTTCTCAGTAAAAACCCATACAAGCAAGAGATGGAATGAATAAAATAGTGGCTTTTTTACAGGCACCTTTTGACAGTGAGTTCTGGATTAGAATGAGAAACCAATCTGTTTCCAAATATCCTGTTAAGAACTTGAAAAAACAGCTAAAAATTTATTCATAAAACTCCCTATGTAATTAATGGAAGCTGTGTGCCTAAATTGCCTTTTCAGCTTTTAAAGCCTCAGCGTAGCCTCATGCTAGGTCCTACAGGACATTTGCAGTGTTTAGGACAGCAAAAACAGTAAACATTGTATGGCTGCTCTTTTAATTCAAGAGATAAGACACAAAATCCAAAGATAAAGGCTGTCGAATGTGCTCTATGTAAATTAATTTTATTCAAAAGAGATTAAAAAAACTAACAAAGCTTGCCTAACTACATGAGGTAGTACATGTAGCAAAACAGAAGGCAGAATATAGTACTCTGAAATATGAAGAATATCAATAAGTTTACATGTTGGAAAGAAATTAAATTCAACAACAGAAACAAAAATACCAAAAATAAAGTTTAACAGCTTTTCAGTCTTAAAGCACAATATACTTTTCATAGAAAGAAACATTGTATCAGCATTACATGTTCTTCATATACCATAATATGGTAAAATTAATGCGTAAGGCTGTTCACCACACATGATTTTTTTTTAAAAAAAGGTGAAGCAACAAACAACTTAATCATCGCTGGGCTCCGTACCACTATACTTCCTGGCCTGCAGGAGTATTTGCCAGGTTCTGAGGAGCAAGGCTAGCCTTTGTTACCATTTTCTTTAAGTTTTTCTTTAACATTTGCCTCATACTTATGTATAGCCCACAGACATCGTGTACACTTCAAGGCCTCCAACTTGCAAACTTTCACGTATGTGTACAATGCTATGCTTTTGCTGAAGACCATTTAAGCAGAGTGAATTATCAAAGTAAAGCAAAGATTGTAGAATTGATGTCTCAGTCCTTAATTTCAGTATGTTCCACTTCTCAATATGAAGAAATTACCTTTTAAGCTCAGATTTTCAAAGATTTTGCTCTGTTTCCCTGGTAGGTGAATATGTAAAAAACTGGGCCTTACTGGTTATTTGAAATAAAAAGCTTAGCAGCACCCAATAAAATTTTATTACTAATATATTTAAGAAATTAAAAAAAAAAAAAAAAGAATGATCCATTTTCTGAGAAATATTTCTGTAGAAAACATGTGAATATGACCCAGGATTCTCTGTATTTTCCTTTTACTTAAAAATAGATATTTCTACTTGTTATGATTAGTATGAAATTGAAAACAGTCTAGCTCTTCATTTATGTTTGCATGGCTACTGCTACCATAAATCATCAAAAAGTTTATATATATATATATATATATTTTCTTTTAAATTTAAGGCATGATTTATTATATTGAATTATTGGGATGGCTTCATTTATGTACATTGGAAAAAAAAATAAGGCCTTCCCATGGTATAGTTTTAAGGTTATTGTTAGTGGCATATATAAAGCACCATACAATAATATGTTCAGATGAAGAAAATAAAGAACATTTATGAACTTTTAATTAATTATATAAGAGTAACTGCTAAGAAAATATAGCAATATTTAACACAGGATTCAAAATATTGTTATATATCCTTATAGATTTTAAAAGTATTTTTTCTCCCATGTTTACTTTTACAGATTTCTTTTATTAAGATATATATGTAATTTAAGCTTTTTGGTGGAAAGCAGTTGGCATCTTCTGTACATAATGTTACACTTTTATACATATTTTAGGAATTAAAGGAATGACCTTTTTTGTTCTTTTCCTTGCGCTCCGGTTTTGCTCGCCTGTTCAACACTACTCATGAGACTCACACAACAGCAAATACTCTGAAAGCCTTGCTTCCTGGAGGATTCTGTAAACTGAAGGGCAAAAAACATTCATGGTGTTATTTTTAAGACTGCAACACTCAAATACTATTTTTTTTCTGAATTGTGAATATAATTCTAGAGTCCTGTGACACTTCCCTTGAGATTACTCATAACTTTACCTAAGAAAGTTTAAAATTCTTTAACAAACAGAAATTAGATTTTTATCTGTGATGACTCTATTTGAAATAATAAAGCTCTATTGGAGCAAAAAACATACAAACCCTGAAAAAGATTATAGGAGAAAAAAAAATAAAAAACATACAACACATGCACCTTACACTGACCATTTTAATAACTACACCCATATCTAATCTGCAAACCTAACAGATTGCCTGTGCAACCTGTTACATATATGCTGAATGAGACAGGTCTAAAAGAAAAATATTTTACAAGAACAAAGGGAATGCATTTATAATACTGATAACTTGCTACACTGATAAATATCTATCTTCAAAACAAAGCAAAAAGGAAAAGCATGTGAAGTGAAGCATCATGAAAAAAATGCCTTGTAAACTGAACTAGCCTGTCACCTAACCACTAAACTTGTAAACCTCACCAAGACTGTAAAGTGCAAATACTGAGTCAATCTGAAACACTTTTTCTGTCTACTTCTCTGCTCAGGGAGCATCTTTAGATGGAGAACAAAAGTATCAGGGAAGAAGAATGCTTCCACAGGTTGCTGGATGTCCGTGGCAAAAATGAAGCAATGCTAAGCAAATGAAACCTGCATTTTACAAGTTTCTTTTTTTTTTTTTTTCTCCTAAGCTTTCTGAGGTAAAAGGGCAAGACTCCCTGTTATGAAAAATATGAAAACAAAACAAAACACCTTTATCCTTTTCCCACTAACAAGTTATCTAAATAAACTTTTGGAGGTTTTATCCCTACACAAATTTCTTGGGAAGGCTACAGCTTAAGAGGCTGCAATTATTAAATGCTTTAGCCACACATGATTTTTTCTCTTTCTTCTAGGAGGACCTCAAGCACTCATTCAGGTCTTAATTTAATCCGCAATATGCAGCCATGTGCTGTCCTCATTGTATCTATTAATAGACTGAGTATAGTTTCAATGAATTTCCACAGCATCTCTCTGTGTTTTCATCCTCAACTAATGTACCTGGAGCCAGCTACAAGTATTTTACATCCTTCAACTCAGACAAAATAAATCACTAATACTATCTAAAAAAAAAGAAAAAGAAAAAAAGAAATCCAAGGAAAGCAAAGGCAATTTTCTTATCAAATATTTTGGTAGTTGCAACCAGTTCCAGAATCAGCAAAATAAACAAAGGGGTTATTTAATTTCATAAGCAGCTTTTTAGAGTAATGATTTACAAGCTTAGAGGAGACAGGCTGCTCCGGTACCACCCTTCTCCCAAGTCACTGCAGCTGTTACACAAGTTCTGCAAATCACTCATGTGCCCTATTTGTTTGGTTTCTAGTACTGCTCAGCTATAACCCAACATCGTGCAAGACCTTGCAAAGATGGAAATCTTATTGCCCGGCAGAGTAAACAGCAATATTTTAAAATGAGCTCTGTACCTTTCTGAAAATATCCCATTTTGAAAGGAAGCAATGTACACCTTTCGTTTGTCTACTGGCATAACGTCAACATAACCACCTTGGTTGCGGACAACACCAGCATGTACTGCTGCCCGGCAGATACTGGACATCTAAGAAAGAACGAAGAATGATTTAGTTTACATTCAGCCTTTTATTTATCTATTTATTTTCAAAACTGGCTAGAAGAAAATGAACAGAGATGTTTAATCCAGTTTCTAGAAACTTCATAAAATTAGTCATACAATAAATATATTATTCTTTGCAGCATTTAATTTGGTTTCATAGGAATTAAGATAATGTATACAAATTTCAGCAACTGCCTCTTTACAGATCTTTTCAATCATCTATTTCAAGTTATTTTAAGTACCAAGAGAACATTCAAATTTTTGAGCCTTTCAAATGAAAGGCACTATGAGCCTTTATTCTTCTTCAATGGGAGAGAGGCAGTAAAAGCTAAACTCAAGTCCCATGAAAATCACGAAATACAGTTTATTCTTAGAGCCAAATAGGAGAGCAGCAAAGCTGCACTGCAATCATACTTTTCTAAAAGATATCCTTCACCAAAGTGCTCTCTCTCCCATCCTACAAGGGCACCTTACTGCAGGAGAGACTGCATMTCCATGCGAGAAACATTCCATCTCCATGCAAAAAAAAGACCAAACAGCAGTGAAATGATACATATTTGAAGTAAACATCACAATCCTCTAGCTAGACACAGGCAAGTGTTAAAAGATAATTAAGTTAAAGGTATAAATGTGAGCATCAAACAGAAGACTGGGGTCTAAAATCATTCCTTAGCTGAGACAGCTGATTAATGGCAGACTRAAAGCTTTACCTCCTCAACTCAAGAGTGAGGAAATTGAGTCAGAGAAGGTTAAGAGTCTCCAGTTGCTTGGAAAGAGCTTTTATCATTTCAGAGCTAATTCCACAAATTTTACATGGACCAAATTCTCTGTAGAGTCAACAGGAGTTTCATCTGAATAAAACCTGCCTTTTCCAGCCATTCATTTCTCCTGAAACTATGCAGCATAAATAATACGAACAGAAGAACAGCTCAATGACAAGCTTGGCAATAGTGCTGATTTAAATAGCTGATTCAAACCTGTGACCCTCCACCACTCTTGTGGTATGTTAAAACTTGCTGAAAGAATGAAATTTCATAGATACTACAGAATGTAGGTCCTACTCTGTGTCAGTATACAACCCTGCAAAAGTAGCTCCAGCTGCAGTGAATCTCCACTTAAAACCAAAGTGGAAAAAAAAAAAAAAACAACTCTTCACTGCAATAGGCCTCTCCCTAACCAAACTTAAAACTTCGCCAGTAAAAATATGAATAGATGGTCACACAGACCACTATTTAAACAGGAGCTGCATTTCTTCCAGTTATAATTAGAATAATTTATATCTGTAACTGTAGCTATTTTGTAATCTCAATGCTATATAAAATCAGGAATTCAAAATAGCAATTATTTTCCTCCTCTTATTGCAACCAAAAATGTTGTCAGTTTTACTGTTCATTTTACATAGTCTATATTTTAATGTTACAGTATTTCTAAGAGTAAAGATTTGAAAATGTTTATGCACAGGCTCCTTAGCAAAGGCCCTTTTGAGTTCTTCCCTTTGTACTGCTGGCTGTAGTTTTGAACATGCCAGAAGGGATGAAGCTTATGGTCCTCAAAACTTTTCGTCTTCCCAAGGCTGTAAGACTTCTGCTATATTCTTAACACCAGGAGTCACCTTTATTTTAAGGGTTATTTTTATAGTTTTATGTATTCATACAACGAGAGTACTRAAAGGCCAGAATCTGCATAATTGCAAACACACAAGGAAAAAAAAGACTGTAATACATGATACAGCATAAAGAAACAAAAGAGGTGTATATTAATATATTTGCAAGCAATTAACTACAGTGAAGAACCAAAAGACCACTATTCATTCCTATGACTAGATACTCAATATTCACAGAATCACAGAATGTTTAAGGTTGGAGGGGACCTCTAGAGATCATCTAGTCCAACCCTCCTGCTCAAGCAGGGACACCCAGAGCATGTGGCACAGGGTGGCATCCAGGCAGGTTTGGAAGACCTCCGCAGAAGGAGACTCCACAACCTCCCTGGGAAGCCTGTTCCAGGACTCTGTTACCCTCACAGGAAAGAAGTTCTTCCTCACACACAGATGGRACTRCRTATGTTTCAGCTTRTATCCATTGATSCTTGTCCTGTCACTGGCTACCASTGAGAAGAGCTTGGTCYCTTCCTCCCTACGTTCCCCCTTCCTGTACTTACACATGTTAATCAGATTCCCTCTCAACCTTCTCTTCTCCAGAGAAAACAGGCCCAMMTCACTCAGTCTCTCCTCATACGAGAGATGTTCCAGTCCCTTAATCATCTTAGTTGCCATCCACTGGACCCTCTCTAGAAGCTCCATGTCCCTCTTATACTGGGGAGCCCAGAACTGCACACACTACTCCAGGTGCAGCCTCACCAGAGCTGAGGAGAGGGGCAGGATCCCCTCTCTTGACCTAATGGCAACACTCCTCCTGATGCAGGCTGGGATCCCATTGGCCTTCTTGGCCATGAGGGCACMCTGCTSACTCATGGTTAACTTGGTGTCAACCAGGACTCCCAGGCCCCTCTCCGTGGAGCTGCTTTCCAGCAGGTCGACCCCTATCTGTGCTGATGCCTGGGGTTATTCCTCCCCAGGTGCAGGACCCTACACTTGTCCTTATTGAACCTCATGAGGTTCCTCTCTGCCCAACTCACCACCCTGCCCAGATCCCTCTGGATGGCAGCACAGCCCTCTGGAGTGTCGGCCACTCCACCCAGCTTGGTATCATCCGCAAAGTTCTCGATCCACCTCTCTATGCACTCATCCAGACCACTCTTCCAGAGCTTCCATATGAGGATATTATGGGAGACGGTGTCAAAAGACTTGCCGAAGTCAAGGTAGACAACATCTATGGCTCTCCCCTCGTCCAGCCGCCAGTCATCCCATAGAAGGCTGTTAGGTTCGTCAGACATGACTTCCCCTTCGTAAATCCATGCTGACTACTCCTCATCACCTCCTTCTCCTTAGTATACCTAGAGATGCTCTCTAGGACGAGCTGCTCCATCACCTTTCCAGGGACGGAGGTGAGGCTGACCGGCCTGTAGTTGCCTGGCTCCTCCCTCTTGCCCTTTTTGAAGACTGGAGTGATGTTGGCTCTCTTCCAGTCCTCCGGCACTTCCCCTGCTCTCCAGGACCTCTCGAAGATGATGGAGAGAGGCTGAGCAATAACCTCGGCCAATTCCCTCAGCACTCTTGGGTGCATCTCATCTGGGCCCATAGATTTTTGAGTGGCCAGTTTGTCTAAGCGATCCCTATCCCAATCCTTCTCAACCAGCAGAAGGTCTTCCTCTCGCCCATTTACCTTTCTTTCACCTGAGCCCTGCAGTTCATGGGGAGCAACCTTTGCAGTAAAGACAGAGGCAAAGAAGGCATCTAGTAACTCTGCCTTCTCAGTATCCTCTGTCACCAAGGCCCCTTCCCCATTCAGCAGCGCACTAACATTTTCCYGAGTTTTCCTCTTGCAGCTAACACATTATACATTATATACATTATAACACATTAACACATTTATAAATATGTCCTTCCTTCCTGTTGTCACTGACATCCCTCGACAACTCTAATTCCACATGGGAATTTGGCCTTCCTTGTTGCACATCTGCATTCCTTGGCAATGTGTCTATATTCTTCCCACGTGGCCTGGCCCTTCTTCCACATGCTGCACGGTCTTTTTTTTTCATTAACTTTGCCTAGTAGCTCCTTGCCCATCCATACAGGTCTCCTGACCTGCTTACTTGACTTCTTTCTTGTGGGAATGCCCTGATCCTGAGCTTGGAGGAAGTGGTGCTTGACCCCCCCTTCCTCCTAGGACCCTAGCCTTTGGGACTTCTTCAAGGAGCTCCCTGAAGAGGTCAAAGTTGGCTCTCTTGAAGTCCAGGGTAGCTATCCTACTTCTCGCCCAACTTCCTCCACGCAGGATTGTGAATTCCAACATCTCATGGTCACTGCAGCCAAGACTGTCCCCAACCCTAACATTTCCCACTAGACCATCTCTGTTTGTTAGTATCAGGTCTAGCAGTGCCCCGCCCCTTGTTGGCTCATCAACCACCTGCATCAAGAAATTATCTGCAATGTGCTGCAGGAACCTCCTAGACTGTCTGTTCCTGGCTGTGTGGTTTTCCCAGCAGATATCAGGGYGGTGGAAATCTCCCAGGAGGACCAGGGCYTGCGATCGGGAGGCTTCTTTCAGCTGCCTGTAAAATGTCTCATCCACTTGCTCATCCTGGTCAGGAGGCCTGTAGTAAACTCCCACCACAGTGTCAATATTGCACCAAGTTTGGATAAATATATAAATAAATATCTATAAAAAGGTAGAGTAACAACCCAGGAGAAGGATCATAGCCAGATGACCTGTCTTGTGTTAGAAATTATTTTTGATAACTTTCTAAATTACTTAGACCTCCAAAGTCTAAAGTGCAACATCATAATGCTAAAAACAGGAGCCATATACGGCTGAAACAGGAGAGGTCATAGAGGAATGGGACTGACAAAATAAACTTAGAAATAGTCTTCAGATGAAAATAAAGCGGTATTCTGATGCTGTTTGTGGATAAGCATGGAACACAAATAGTAATTAAAAATTATTTAATAATTTATATGCATATATATGAATAAATGTACGTAGTTTTACCAGTATGAACAGGTATATGAATATAGTTTTCTGGAGAAGGTATTATCTATTTTGAGTTTCATAAACCCCTCTGGTATTGGAGTTCTTTGTTTAAGTGAAATCAGAATGCACTAAAATTTCCTGCTCTTAAGGATTTTAAAATAGTCTGGTCACATTCCCTGGAATTAAAATGTTAAGATGAAGCTTCCATTATTTTAAGCAGAACCAGAATTTCCTACCTTTTTCTATCCTAAATTTGATCATAGAATTGTTAAGTTAGTTTTATATTAGCAGTCTTATAACAGTATCTGAAAGTGTCAGAGATTTGTGTTTGCTTCTTTAATTTTCATGATCACACTCTGAAGGATACATAAAGCATTAGCTTTTAAGTTAACATGAACGTTTCATACAGCATTATATGACCTTGCTTTATTGTTGTGCTGTGAACCCTCTGGAAATTGTTAGTATTTAACAGGTCATAGCATCTGAATACCAAGCTGCTTAATTATTTTTCTTCTTCAGCTACTCAGCAAAATACCAAATATCTATCCAGCATAGCATATCTGCAAAGGTATTTTTGTAATGTGTTTACAAGCCTCTCTTTTCCCCAGTATGACTATAGAACTACTTGAGAGTTTTGCTTCTTTCATAGTGTTTCCATTTTACTGCAGCAGAGATTTATRAATTAGGAAAATACTTCCATATATAGTTCTTGTTAAAACAAAAAAATAGTATGATCAAAATCCTCAGATAGTATGAACTCCATCTAATTCTACAGACAGGAGACATAGGCTGATCTGAATTAGCCCTAAGGAGAGGTTCAATTTTTTAAAGAATTGCTCTGTTAATCCCCATAATTTAGATTCAATATTAGTAAGAGATTGTCTTTGGTAAAATGCCACATATGGTGAATGCAACATGATAAACATAAAATTTAAACTCTCTACAAATTCTTACAAGATAACTGGAATATGATTTTGAACTTGTGCGATATGCACATCTAAGCGGTGCCCATTAAAATAATTTTTTTAACCAGAAAAATCCACAAGTTAAAGAATTTTTATTCTTTTTAAACATTTTTGTGAGTTCTGACAGTGATAACAAATCTGATTCTTGACACTATTTTGACTTTACTTCCATGATGAGGTGACATTGAATTGTTTTAAAAATGCAAATATTGTTAAAATACTCAGTCACAATATAATACTGAATTTTCAGAAACAAGACGCAAAAAATTTTAGAGAAATTGGATTAACCAAGTTAAAAAGTGATGCCAACTCTTCAGCACAGGAAAGCAGGAAATCTTTTTTTTTTTTTTTCCCCCTGTCTCCCAACAGGACAAAACATTGCCATGTGTAAACTATTAGCAGCCAAGCCAGCAGGGACACAAAGCACAGAGATGGCAATGTCTTTGCACCAGAAGAATGACTTGTACTTCTGAACTACTGAAGAACTTGTACTTCTGTCCTCCAAGAAAGATCGCTACTACAGTTCTTACTTACATCATAACAATGTTATTCAGGAAAGGACCTCCAGGACAGAACAGAGCAGTGTTTTTGTTTTGAATAGCTTAAAATCTCTCTCAATACAAAAGAAACAAAGGTAGTTCAACAACAACAACAACAAAAAAGAGAATCTACCAAGTTGGGGAGGATGAAGACTCTTACATGAAGACTACGCATACACATCTGTTCATAGATGCCGGCTATAGGAACCACAGCTTTGATTTATCTGTCACAGACAAMGGGACAATAGCTAATGGACTGAAGAATGGAGGATGAAATAATGGAGTTTTTCAATTGAGTTAGCAATACTTGTGGCAATGAAAAAAAAACAGCATAAAGAAAAGGAAAAATTCTTAAGGGCATTGTTTTCCAGTAATAAAGACAAGAAGCAGTAAAATATTAAATAATTAAAAAATAAATGACTGAATAGACAAAGAGCTAGGAAATAAAATGTTTAAATAAAATCTTCCTAAYATTGTAAAAAAACCCCTTTTTGCATCAGTGATATTTTTAAAATTGTTAATTTTTTTTCTTACTTTTTATGAATATTTGTGCAAACAAATTCTTGTTGATTGGAACATGAATGAATAAGCCCCAAAGACTCATGGAAGTAGGCAGATGCATGTACATATATACATTTACATAAAAATACTTCAAAACAAAAGGGTTTTTAGAGAGACGGAGAGATGACCAAAAAAAAATCACTTTGAACTAAACATGATGAAGGCAATGCAGAAAAAAAAAAAGACTAAAAAACAATGATAGAAGAAATTAGTATTAATCTGTCAAAATAGTAAGTTAATGTCAGATATGAAATTCTGCTATAAATATATAGCTATTTATATAGACAAGAAATATRCATAATGAGACTATGGACATTTATCTTCCAATTTCCAATCAAAATGAAAATTGAAAATATGTATCCATAGAGAGATGATGTTTCCAAATAAGTTTAGATATCTTCAGCTGAGTACTACTAACTTAAATGAGAGCCTCTGAAAATAAAGACTCTTAAAAGACTGTTCGTACATCTCTCTTTGCTTTTTGGTTAAAAAAATTAGTGGATGGAGGAAAGCTAGAGATTTATGTTATATATTATTATATTTCATAGCTTTTCACAGGATTTCATACCCATTATATGCTGTAATGTAAATCATACTACTTACATCAGAATAAATTCGTGATCCTATCACACGAGCATAGTGTGGATTTGCCTGCATACAGTTGTGAGGACAATAGACCCTGGAATATTGAAAATAGAAAGCACACATGTTTATGGAAAAAAAAGATACTATAGTATTACTATATCTATTATCACATTCTATCACTATTACTATCATCACACTCAACATCATCATTACCAAATATAAAGCAAAATGATGGAGCATACAGATGGTCAGTATAAATCAGCTTTTGAATCTTAGAAATAAGTCAAAAAACATTGTTGATATAACTCGAGGTTCATAAAAAGTGTGCCCGAGAACCCATTTCAGTGGTATAGTTATCTTCTTTTCCTTGGCATACCAGGAGGTTGTCTTGTTTAAGGAATGGAGGGCCAGTAGAAAAGCCATTGGGCAGAGAGATGGATCACACTGTCTGTTTATTAAATTATTGTATCACATTCTATCCAAATCTGTACAGTTGAATAATTTCCACCAGGGAAAAACAAAGAAAAACAAACAAAAAAACCCCACATACCTGGATGAGGCCTGTCCCTGTTAAGATACTCATGACCAAGCCAATGCTGATGCATGATGCTGTTGCAAGCCAATTCAGGAATAATTACTCTGAGTAGTTGATATTTGTGGCTAAACTGAAAGTCTTAGGAATGAGATTCCTTGATGATTTTAGGAGATCAAAGAGCTACTGAGAGACATCACCCTTACTCAGATTATTTTTGTTAACCTTCTTTGAGAAAAGCTCTCTATCTAATTCATGCTTGCCTCAACTTGAAAATGCACTGGAACAGCATACACTAGTATATATGACAAGCATCTTTTTGTGGTAATTATGGTATACTACTACAAGGAAATGCAATTAAAGTGCCAGTTGTTTCATTTTAAAAACATGGTCATGTCTTGATGGCTTTGGACCAATCCTGTATGGACTATCCAAGGCAAGCACTTCTCCCTAGGACACTTTCTGGATAGATATTTAGCATGTTATAGCCTCAGGCATACTACATTGTTATCAGATGGACAATCCAAACAGGCTGATGCAGCCGAGGGAGATTTTTGTCCAAAGGAAATATGATGTGAGACTGGCCTTTGAAKAGCTGCTGATTTGTGACATGAGAGGAAAAAAATGAGGTTGTACACTCAATGCCATAGCTGATTACTGCTTGCAACACCTAAGACTACAATTTTAGAATCAGGTTAACATCATGCACAGTATTGAATGGGTCACTGATGCTGTGAAATTCCTTGAACTGATGCATCAGAATTAATAAAGTAAGACTTTTTAAAATTTCTTTCCTCTAATACTATTAAAAACACATGACTTTTCTCTTAATGAAGCTGCTTTAATTTTTAATAATGAAAGAGAAGATCAAGGAGGCAGAAGCATGGGATTTTCTCCATCAACTCCCAAATTCCACTCTTCTGCTTATTTCTACACGTCTTACATCCAGAAAACCAGGAGTCATAGCCAAACACCAAACAAGTCCGCGGACCCAAGTGCTACATGGAGAGATGTTTTCCTAGCAGTTCTGGCTTTGTGCTTGCTTCCTGTATTGGCTGTAGGATTGCTATTAAAGTACTCCTGTGGATATCTCCAGCTTAGCTTGCGGTAAATCATGCTACAGTATTTACCTTAGACTCATCTATGGCTTTAGGAACTGTTACTGATTTCCTTCCTCAAAATATTGAGGCTTCTTCCAATGAGTAAAAATGTAGGTTTCAAATAAACAGCACACATTTAACTGAAAGTTATTAACCAACTTGCAGACCATACTCTTAATCTACTGTGTTGATTTTGTTCTTTTTTTTGAAAAACCAAAACATTAAAATAATCTGGTAACTTTTATGACAAATACCTGCACTAGTTCCATTTTTACAGATGGAGAAACTCAAGGCGAGTGAATTGTACCTCAGGTATGTAGATTTATTAATGCACAACAAAACAGAAAAATGCATCTTCCTTTAGGATAACCAATGATTATTTCATTGTGATACACCAAAGATCTCTATAGACAGCTCATCTTTACCTACCTGGTTTTCTGCTTAGACTAAAGACTTAAATATTAGTAAAATATTTCTGTCCTCACTTTCAAAGTTTTGCACAGCTACTCTTGTCATCTTTGTCAGTGACAGCAATAGTTAATAACTCTGGCAGAAAATATGTCTGCACTTCATATGAATAGAATATTTTAAGAACTTTACCTTGGACAGTGTGAGGCTGGTTTTTGAAATGGGCACAACTGTTCCCCTGTTGTTTCACAGGTGATAGCTTGAACTGAAAAGAGTAAAAAAAAACAATAAATGTGTGCCATTTGTAGGAAAAAAAAGTAATAATAAGACTGTAAGAAATAAATGCTAACCTGTTACTTTAGAGACTGTGAAGGAATTAGCAGACTGGTATTTTCTGAGAAGAAATAACAGAAATAGTAAGTAACATCTCTCAAGGATTTYTTACTAGCCAGGTGAATTTTTATTATTAAATCTAGAAATAAATTCAGGACATTGCCTCCAAACAATGTTTACTCTCCTCTTTGTGAATCTATTGCAAATGATAATTTACTTTATAATCCCAATGAATCTGTGTTTGAAAATGAGGCATGCATGTTGAGCTTTTTAAGTAATTTAGATTGCTAGGAGGATAAATCTGCTAGAAATAAATTATGCATCAATTTCTCTCTCAAAACTGTAGCAAGCAAACTCTGTGCTTGAGAATTGATYAGAAGTATCCATCTACCAGAAAAGCAAGTATTCAGTTCCTCCTTAAGTGTTCATCCCTTCAAAGAACTCCAGGTCTGAAAAAAAAAAATCTCCTAACAAATATTTTCAGAAAAATTTGATTCAATTTTRCTTTTATATCCTCTTCTATGTTAAATTATCACTGTTATCATGGTAAATTCAAAAAGTCTGGTTGTATGATAACTGAAAGCGTCAGTTCCTTGTTAATAGGTCAGTTACAAGTATTCAGTTATTCTATAACAACTGGTGAATACTTCTAGTCCATTTCTATTTTTATCTCAGGGGATATGCCCATGATTCTAATATTTTCATTTATAGTACAAGAGAAAGTGATGATATTTTTTGATGCCCATAAATACTTTTATTAAATAACCATGAAGGATATGATTTCCTATTCATACTTTGGGCAAATTATTGCTGTGTTCCCCGTAACACTGCAACTTGTATTTAGAAACTGTTTGCATTGTTTTATTTAGTTGTATGGTATGGCCCAACAATTTCACATTTGTTCGTTGTTGCATTCCAACTTGTTTTCAGTATCTTAATTCATATCCACCTTGCCCTATTTCCATACTATGAAAAAAACCTGCCATGTGAGAATAGTTTACATATTCTAAAGTTGTTTAGCTAGTTAGGATAATGTTAAGAGGAGTGACAAAACATAGTATTCTAACTCATGCAATGATATCATATCAAGCACTTAAATGTTTAAAATGGTACCTTTCGCTACGATAATGAAACATTTGAAAAAACTATTAACAATCTTGCACATAAGTCTGAAGATCACAAAATTTGCTATAACTTGCTCTGAAATTCACCTGACTTTCTATTTACTTATTTCCTGTGCTCAAGAAAATCTAGAACAAAATAGATTTTCAGTATTAATGAGAGGTGAGATTTCATTAAGTAGCCTTCTTGCTTATGATAGGAATTTCAGCCCCCTCTACAGACACTGGTGAGACCAGGTACCTGCAATGAACCATCTACATTAAGAAGGATCTTTTCAGATTGACTCCAGAGAGCCCTGGAAATTAGCATCTGCATTCTGTAGTGAAAAGGTACCTTAAATAAGTCTGAATAATGAAGTAACACAGTACCACACAGCCTTACAGGACAGTGTACCACACAGGGTACAATAGGGCAGATATTTATTAGAGATAAGAAATTTTCTGGAGATCTTTGTTTACCATAAAGACTACAATTTATACATTTACAAAGGTGATGTCTGATCATAACATATTCTAAGGTTACTATAAAAGGTGGAATCGTAAGTGCTGTAGGAGCTGATCAGTGGACAATTCTCTAGCATTCATTAATACACAGAGAAGTACAGTTTGTAGATACTAGAACTATACTAGATGTAAATACAAATCCTAATATGACTGATGATTAGTATGTATAAGTCATACATACTAATATGACTGATTGTCATACCAATGGATAGCTATGAATATCAGAATAGATATTCGCTCCTTTTACTCAGCGCTTTTCTTATTTTCCTTTCAGCTTGTCAACAAGTATTTGCACCTGTTTTTACATGTAATAGTTATGACTAAACTTCTGAAAACTGTGATACAAACCCCTGAACACTGTAAAACATTTCCAAATGAAGCTTCCACAATGTTTGATATTATTCACGGGCAAACGTGTAAAGTACATGAGCAATGTACGATAAATTAATAAATAAATACAGTAAATTATGTCTTCTAAGGAAATTCTCAAGCACCTATATGAAAAGATGTATTTTATGCTTTGCTCACATTGCTTGTATGATCAGTATGAGAGCAGTTCTAAAATCAAATTTACAGGATTTTTGACTTGTCATTTTTTTTGGCATGGATTCCTGTGTACATGGGCCGAAACTAAAAATATTAAGTTTTGCCCTCAAAAAATAAAACAATCTGATTTTATGTCAGTAAGTAGTAGTTTATATACATATGTGCATTTATAACCAATATGCGCACACACACATATATATATATATGTGCATTTATAATTGATACTCCAGATATTGAGATTGTTTAACTACAAATATTAATTTACTGCCCAAGGAACTTAGTGAATTATTTTACCTCCTTTTGCTCGATTATTATGTCACTATTCTTCAAATGCTGGCTAAACCTTCAAGATATTGCCAATATCTATACCAACTTGCCTTTTCATAGTATTTTCATATTCTTTGTGATAAAAGAAGTAATGGCAAAACATTATTTTTGTGATATATTTTTTTGAGAAATAAAAAAGAAAAAGATGCAAAACAATTCATACATTGTGTTTTTAAGGAAACTTACCCAATTGACTGAATGCCATTTCTATAAGATTTGATAAAGTAATTTTTCCTTCCCTGCCTAGTGACATCAACCCAACCACCTTCATTGTCTAGGATGCCATAATGGATGGCAGCTTTACAAATACTGGATTGCTGGAAAACAAAGTGGAAAAAATGATTCAACAGCAAGCAAGATTTATTTTCAATTGTAATTTTATGTGGAAAAAAACACCCCACCTTCTTTTATATTAGTCACACACACAAAATGTCACAGTCACAGAGTCACACAATGGTTAAGGTTGGAAAATCGTAAATCATAAGATTCTGTCATTTATCCTATATATAGTATCTATTCTGGTCACACTAAACTTAAGGGGCTATCTCAAATGAAGAAAAAATCATTTTCCCTTATTCAGAGACAAAAAAGACTCATTTACTGCAGCTGTTATTTCCTGTATTTTCTTTCAGTTCTCCATAGTGACATAACATAAATATAAACTGTAAATTTTCAGATAGGCATTAATTTTATATTGATAGACCTGTCTTATTAAAGAAATTTATACAAATATACCCACAGATTGCAGTATTTTTTCTTAAGCTTGAACTCGGGACTTCTGGAAACAAAAATTCTATTCCTGTTTAACTAGGAGAGAGATGAAGCGCATCCCAACAGTGTATGCAGAACAGAGACAAACTTAAATGGTCTGATGCAATCTTAAACATTTAGTGTAGGATTTTAGTTTTGGTGAAGGCTAGTTTCTTAAAAATCATTCTTAATATTATTTTGGCTAGTATTCCAATAAAAAAAGGGCACCTCACTAAACATTATATTGGTAAAAAAAAAAAGCAATAAAAATGTTTACCATTTCATAATGTACACTTCCAATGACTTTGGCTTTGCTCTCCAAACAGCCAGCAGGACATTCATACCTGAGACAATAAAAAAAGAACCTGGTCTTATAAAAATACAGGTCTGGATTACAAAAATGGAAAATATTTCAGCTCACATACAAATGCAGCCTTTGAAAATAATCTCAGGATGACAACTTTGATATTTACCATACCTATTGCAAGTTGTTCCTTTGCACTGATCTCTTAGCCTTACTTCACATGAAACAATCTGAGCTAAAATAAACAAAGAAAACCCAATTTTACTGTAATGAATTTGATGTTGCATAATTCAAATTTGTTGACTACTTGCAGATCAAGTAAGTTCCTTACACATTTGCTGTGTACTTATTACTTCATTTTTCTCACTGTCATTACTGCCTGTGGAACCTGAAGGTGAGTGAGTCCTTGGCCGGCTTTGTGCTGTTGCATCCTGAGCTTTGGATCGCTGCCGCTCAATCTCATTGGTTTCCTCTTCTGGTTCACTGGAGGAATAGGTCCATTCCGTACCCTCTGTTATAAAAAAAAAAAAAAAAAAAAAAAATCTCAGAAAAAATAAAAAGCTGCAGATTTTGTGGAATGCAAATCCCTTGCCATGTTTTGGTATCATGGCTTTGTTCTCAGTGTGGTTGAATATGCACAAGAACGAAAGTAACTGCTTCAGGAGAAGAACTCAAGCTTAATAATACCTCTCATGTATCTTTCTAATGCTGACTAAAGATAAAATTTCTAGTACAGGCAGCACTACTGAGGTGTGAAAATGCTTTTAATACTTCTACTTTAACATCATCTTTCTGTCATCAGAAAAATCAAAGATCATCAAAAAAAAACCATCAAAGATGATATTTCTATTAGTAGTTGAAAGAGCTCTACCAACTTGATAATTAACTCATAACTGAAGAGCCAATTTTCTAAAAACATTCATCAGAAAATGAAGCCATTTTATTCATACATAATGTAACTGATTTGAAAATACTCATTATTAAATCTACAGATCTTACTTAAATAAGAACCTTAAAGAAGCTACAAGTGTACAGAGATGGAGTTATTATGGTCCATATGAACACATGAAAAAATATTAAAATAATAATCCTGTTTTTTCAAAACCACTAATAGAAATTGTAAGTTACTTGTATGAAAAAATCTTCATAATATAGTCCATTTCAATGCCATGAAGGTAAGACAGAATAAAATCATGAAAATTGTAGGTATTTAATAATCATTCTAGCCGATATTTTGTTTAATTAATAATGTCTTCTTGTCTTGTCTTTTGATTATAGTAATGCATGTGCCTACATCACTGAGCCAGCACGTTTTCCTACAAACAAATCTGTGCATAGACTTCAACTATACCTTGCAGAAAGGGACATAAACAGCATACTGCCAAAGACCATGTCTTTGTGTATAAACAGCTCTCCATTCCCTCTGACACCAAAAGGAGTTCAGTACAGTTCTTCCTTACTAGAAGACCTGGCCTCACATATGATAGCACATAAACTCATGCCTCATGCTAAGTAGGTCCTTAGCAGTTCTCTAGGCACATAGATAATATCATTCTCTATTCTATGCATTATTTTAAAGCACAATGAATGAAGGTTACATTTCAATGAATGAAAAGGTTACATTTCTCTGACTACTAATAGCCATACTGTGGAATTAGTACATACCCCTGTAACAAAGATTTTCTCTGCAACCTCCTCCAAAACTAGGGGGACAAGCCGAACAGGGACGTCCAGGTTTGTAAGGAGCATGACCCCACCAGTTGCCCCTAAAAAAAATCCATTAGCAAACAATATATAATAATAAATTAAATAAAATAAATATATGAACATTAAGCAATATTTAAAATGTGAACAAATAAATGGTATAAAACAGTGGACACATAAACCATGATACTGTTTTGATTACACTAATACACAAATACACAAAGTTGTTCAAGTTCTTGAAGACGAAACTAAAGTACTGCTGATATGAGATCTATTTAGATCAGCATTGCACTTATATTCCTCAACTGAGGAGTATGAGAGTATGGCTTCACTCTCCTAATGGAACATACTATAGAATTTGATCTTCATATTACACGTTCTTTAAATTTACTAAAGTGGAGAGGTTCATTTATTATCCAGATAAATATCATGCTACAATGAAGATCACTGATGATGAATGCTAATACAGAGTCAAGCTAGAAAATCCTAAGAGTATTTGTGTAGCCAAATCAGCCCTGGGAACAATACTTTACTTTCTAATAGTACAAAAAAATAGAAAACTCAGACTGCTTTCCTTTTGGATTATTTCCTGGATTATAAAGTACTTTGCCCCCTCAAGATATTTTTGAGTGTCAACCTACTTACTTAGGAGAATAATTGCACACAAGATAGACTGCTTTTGGCCAAATCTGTCCCCAGATGTTCATGTTATGACACAAATTAATTGCACAACCTATTCTGCTACTTGTAGCCCAAACAACCTATGGAAAAGGAAAGAAAAAGATAAGTGAAAACCAAAACTGATTAATACACCAAAAAACTGTTCAATTCAATAAATAAATCAATTCATAAAACTCAAATCACAGAAGAGATGTTATATTCCCCTCTGTTATAAACACTACTGAGGTAGAAGTAACATTATTAAAACTGGCAAGAAGTCATTAAGTCATATCCTTACCGGAAATAAAAGCTTTATGTTGATAAAAAAGACATGGCTACTACATACAATAACTGATTTTACTATGTATTTGAACATACAGCAAACATGAAATATTTACAAAATATCAGCTAACGAACATTTTTTTTTGGAATTAAAATGATTCCAAAATCTTCATTTACAATTAAGTTGGGTTCCTGCACACTAAAGTTCCCAGTGCAGTGTAGGAGCACGCAGAGATTTAGTCTGGTTAGAATGACAGAATATATAGGTAACAGCAGTGAAAGAAAGCAACATAAAGGTTAACACTGAAAATTCATATACCAAGAAGAAACCAGTCTACGATGGGTAACAGAGGTTTGATTTAATATGCTTCCGTATCATTTCAGTCTAAAATGACTGAATTCCTTATCTGCTGATAAGTTATGCTGAGAAGTTGATGGTTTTCTGCTGAAATAATTCTCACTGTAAAAATATTGTTAAGGAAGTGATAATTTTGAGGAAGAAATCTAAAGACTAGTTCTACGATGACTCTACTCACCATCCCTCAAGTCCAGTGCTTTTAATTATGAAATGTAATAAACTGCAAAGCCCTTCTTTGTTTGTGCACTGAGAAACAATATACTGTAAGATTAGTACAGTGATAGTAATAATTTTTTGTGTCATTCACTGACCAAACTGGAGATCTTGACTCCTCTTTTCCATAGCTCACAAAACCCACCTACCTGTGTGTAATGTGTACAGACAGGACCCGAACATTTGTAAGGACAGTATGGGTTGCACTCATGAGGATGTGGATAAGTGAAATCTCTCACTTCATCATACCATGCTTGCACATGAAATGTTGGAGGTCTATACCTATGAAAATAGTAACAGTCTATTAGATCACTAAAAGTCCTACCTTCTATCATTTGTCTTTTAAGTAACTAGCAAATTTTGTAAAATTTCAAAAAGCATATATATTATAAAATAGTATCTTAAGCTACCTTCCCCAGTGTGCGCCCAAATTTTGTCCAATTGATGGAAGAAGGCTTGCGGGCCCATGTTCCCACAGACAGGTTTCAGCCCAGGATTCTGCAGATCTCTCCAGTTCTGTATCCCATACCTGAAGTTTAAAAGAAAATAAAAAACAAGGGAAGGCGGGGAAAGGGGGGGAAAGGGGGGGAAAGGGGGGGAAAGGAGTACATCTTAAAAATATTTGATGGGTATTATTTCACGTATTAAAAAAAAAAAATCAACACACCAACAGAGAAGACTCCTTTTTTTTTTTTTAAGTTTTTTAAACAGGAARAMAAAAAAAAAAAAAAAAAAAAAAAAAAAAAAACTTTTACAAATTTTACAAAGGTCTGCTCCATTTGTCATTTGTTTTACCTAAGAAATAGAAATGTTTTCATGGAGAAATTAAGTTTAATGCTCTCACAGCATTCCCTTTGGAAAACAGGAAATGCAGACATGCTGAAGTAAATAAAAGACAAATCTGAAACAGAAAGGCTTAGCTCAACTTGATAAGCTAACTCAAGTGCGCTTTCCATCTTGTGAGATTTTTCTTTAGTAATAGGCCCCTTTAGCCAAAAGGATATTATACAACACACTTTCAATACAAGGCTTTATTTTCTCTAAACCAACAGTTCATTTGAAATGAAAGTGATTTTCTCTCTCTTGTCTGTAATCAGCTTTTGTTGAAATAATATACAGTGCAAACAAAAAATTTGAGAACTCTAGCAAGGTTGTCTGTCACTGATTTCATGATGAGATTGTTAAAAATCCTCAATGCTGACCACATCAGTAAGAGATTTCTGCCCATAAAGGCACACTTAGAACAAATTAGATACACAGATTATTGCCAACTACAACATCCTTAAAGGGGAACAATAGGCAGGTCAAAGGCAAATGCAAGTTCCTGTCATCTTTCAAATCCATACTTTTTCAGCACTCCTTAAAATTATTATATAATGCATTGTTAAAGTGTTTTTAGTGTTTTATGCATTGTTTTTAGTGTTTTAAGCCAGGATTTATTCAAAGTGTTCCTTTTTTAGTCAAAGCATCACACTGACCACTGACTTTTTAAATCTCCTAAATGATAAATGCGGAAATATTTTCCAGATATCTGAACAGCTTATACTAATACTCAGGTTAGAAACTAAAACATTCCCAGGAGATAAATCCATTTCTTAGATAGAAACACAATTATTTCATCATATGTTCAGACTAAAAGGGTCTTACAGTAAGACTGTGTTATCAAGTTTTTGACATGCTATTTTCACCTTTTTAATAAGATTACTCATTAAAAACCCGACATGCCCTTGGTTATATAAAATCACAATCCTATAAAGCCTTCAATAGCACAATTTAAATACAAGATATCTATTTCCAGTTCCACTCTTCCATTTTGCCCTTATCATCAGTATTAACAGATAGTAAGATATTTAAAATGTAAATTTTTACTTCACAACTGCAAAGTTTATATGACAGAATTATTCTAACAACACAGCAGCAACAACATAAAACCTTTAATCAACTTACATACAGATCAAAACCCATGGAAACTAAGAAATAGTAGGAATTTTCTATTCACTTTACTCGGCCAATAATTCAATGTCACAAGCAAAAGGTTTGCCTAATTTTCATGAGACAATATTCTACTCTTAAATCAGGAAGTTTTATATGGCAGTATTTGCCTACTCAATAGTGAACCAGAAATAGGATGTTATCTGTAACGGGAGCCATGGTGGCAACTCTACTCTCCTTGAGAATCTACACATGTGCAGGAGATGGTCTCAGAAGGGAAATATGCAGAATAAATGGTCATAGTTTAAAGCTCATTGCGATGCAATAACCCTATTTTTACCATATTTCAGAGATTAAATATGCCCCATTGGTGGAAATAATTCCGAGAACCTATTTTTATATGAGTCGCTGTTGCCTTGAATCAAAAATGTCCGAGAAAAATATGTCCCATTGGTGGAAATAATCATTACAGTCTATGAGTTCCTGTTACCTCTCATAAAAAATGTCATAGGAAAATGAATCTACTCCTTAATATGGAAATAACTGTAGAACTAAGAAAACTCAGAAGTCAGACTGAAATTTTAGATCTGTTAAATAATACTTTTCAACTTAGAATATTTATTCTCACGAAGAGAATGAGAAACCTAAATTTGAAGACAAAAAGAAGTCCCCATGAACACAAGTTTTACCTAAAACTTGTGATCTCTAATTCATTTTTAAAATGATAACTCTGGCAACTTCCAGAGTCATTTCACTTTGATGCTTGGCTTCCTCTTTTTCTCAGGGTTTCACTTTCTCACTTATTATTGCTAACAGAGCAGTTCACCTCATCATACTTCACTTTCCTTGGAGCTATTTCATTTATGATTCTTCTCTGCAGTCATCTAAGCCAGTATTATCAGCTTCCCCTAGACACGGTGCTTCCACGTCAATCACAATGACAAGTCCAATGCCAGAAACTCTGGAGTCTTTGGTTTAGGTCAAATATCAAAGTGGGAAGAGTRGGAAGTGAGCTCATCACAATTTAGGGAGGGTAGTGGAGGCTCAAAGAAATATAATCCTTCCTACGAATTCCTACATATAGGAAATTCCTCCTATACAAAGGATTTGATTTTGACAGTACTTGCTTTCTTCCAAGAGCCTGAACTTTGTATCAAAAGTACAATAACTAGATTTTTTTAAAAAATTGTTTTAATTGAAAGATTTCAAATTTCATATCTACAATAAAAAAATACATTAAAAATATTCAAACTAGTCCTAACCACAGGCTGGGCAATTTCCATTTATTATTATTATATCTCCATTTATTTATTATTATATCGAAGAAATTTTTCAAAAGAACAAATATTTTAATTGTACTAAGAAACTCATTATTTAGTCCAGTGGGATGCTCTGTTTTAATTAGTATGGTAAATTTTTACATATAAATATTGTGCTTTGCATTATTTATTCAGTTATCAACTATTTTTTTCCTAAGCAGTTCTGACAATTTTTAACACTGTAGAAAGAATATGATCCTTAGAACTTTAGTAATTCATAATTTAATGATTTTGTAAAATGTCTGACATTCTATTCCATGGGAATTGTCTCAGCAACCAAAATTTAAGCAATATTGTAATCTCTATAGGTATTATCAAAATATGCTATGAAATTTTATAACACAGATTTCATGTATTCAATTTTCATTTAGTATGAATTACTAAAATTTTGATGAAAAGAAATTAATAAAAGGTTTTATTAAAAAAATCAGAAATCTGTCAGTTGATAGTTGCTGCTGTATGAGGATTGAATTCAGCAGAAAATGATTATCACATCTCTCCTATGCATGTACTACTCAATAAAGTTACTTCAGAAAAGTGCTGTTCAGGAAATTCTGTGTATGTTCTAGAAGAAAGGGCTCATTCATTTGTTTCTCAAACCTTTAGCACCTAAATTCCTTATTTCTAAAGCCAGATACAAAAGCTACCAGTCATGGATATACTGTACATACAAATAGCATAGATTATAGAGGGAAAAGGCTGCCTGCTCTCCTGCCAGTCAGTGTTTGACTAGACTCATTGTTTCTTTAAATGAGAAGCAAGCCATGAAGAAATATACACCTAACACAGTACATCAAAATCAGTATGACACATTCCTATACACAAGCAAAATTTTTCTGAATCTCCAGGATCATTCTGACATTTTTAAAATAAAAAAAAAAAATAAGAAATGATATCCTGACTTCTGATGCAAATCACAGGAAAGCTTTATCTAAATTTATATATGAATACACCAGAGACACAAAAAATTGACACAAGTTTTAATAACATTATGCAAAGGTACTGAATTTCTCAAAACAAATGAAAAATTTATGAAAACAAATCTGACAGATTGTAATCCCATCTCACTGCTAAACATCTCATGTTTCATTTCATTAATTTTTAAAGCCTTTTGTTCTTCTAGTGTTCCCTTCACCTTTAAAGCACAATGAAGAAGAAAATAAAAATGGGGGACAGCAAATATATACAGAAGGGTGTTCAAAATACACAAAAGAATTCTATTAAGAGCAAGCTATACAGTGAAGAAACTTCAAACAAACAGTATATGCTGGATAATTGAATCTTTAGATAACAAAAAGCTTGGAATTAAAAAGAAAAACGCCATAAGAAGAATGGTGGAATAAAAAGAGTTACAGTAACATAAGTTATTTTCCATCACACTAAAAGTGTGTATTTCTCATGTTTTAACCATAGTATCAGCAGTAATATATATAAAGTATAAATAGTATAAATATACTGTATAAAAGTACAAATTTCTTCCATAACCCATAACATTCTTCATTATCAGATAGTATTTTTTAGCTCTCTCATGCATCAGTATTCATGATGTTGCAGTGTGGTTGTAGATACCAAAGTTTGTATATCTATCTCCTTCCTGAGTAGATCATACATTTGCAAAAAAAAAAAAAAAAAAAAAAAAGAGATAAGCACATTTTATTCATGTTTATGAATGAGTTGCACCTTAACCTATACTCAAGTCTAAGATTTATACTGTATCATTTCATGTTCCACAATCTCTTTGGTGCCACAGTTCCTGAGACAATACAGTTGAGCACAGCTGAACACAGGTTTATCATGACAAATACAGCTATGTGTCATAATGTACTTTTTCTCTCATCTATTTAAAAGATAGCCTTTTTTTTCATATCCTTTCTAATCTTCTGCATAGACAAATAATTGCCCACCAAAACTCCAAAAAAAATGAGTTTTCACACATAACTACTTGTATCTAACAACAAATTAACTTATTTAAAACAGCAGTCCCTCACACGGTGATTTATTAGTCCTTATAAGCCCTTATCAGAGGTTTTACAAGTTCATGGACCTGACCTCAAATGGAATATAGCTTATTTAACAAAAGACATAGAATATATAAGATATTAATCTTCTGCATCACAGACTATATGTGCTATTTTGTCTCTCTGAAAATTTTCTTTCTTTTGAGGATAGTATGAAGTACTATAGTATGAAATACTATTCTAGTTCAGTTAGAGGCAACGGTATCACCACAGTGTTATACTTCCCTCTGTAAGCATATAAGGATTATGAGCATTCCTCC